CTGGCAGGAAGTGGAGTTTGGTTCCTTAACCTGCAGGGTTCTTGCAAAGACACGGGACACTAAACCTTTCAGCATGTTTTGCAAATTCAAACCGACACAGTGGGACAAATCTCTGACTTTGCACATGTTCTACAACTGTGATTCAAAGCAAGCTGTCCTGTCCTCCTATGGCCCTCTTACCTGTCTGCCCCTTTCTTTGGGGTACCTCTGCTTCGTCACAAGTCCCCTGCTCCAGACCAGCTGACCATGGGCCAGAAGGCAGAAATGGAGTGCCCTTTCTCAGGGCTGACTGTGCCGGCGGCGGAGACCGGTGGTGGGGGCTTTGAGGTTTCCGCTTCAGAGACTGGCTGTTTTCTGAGAAGGCATTTCAGATGGTCTGGCTGGCTGGGGAGGAGGGAGGGGGTGGAAGCCCAGCCCGGGATCTGACACAGCACTTTGATGTCACTGGCCAGGAACGTGGCAGGCATGTCAGGGGGCTGAGTCATGCTTTGGGCTGAGCCTAGCTCTGCGGAGGAGCAGGCAGGGCTGACTAGAGTGCCCCCCCTCTCCTGCCCTCCTCCGCAGAGGGGATGTAGAGAGGAGGAAGGGGGCTTTTGATGTGTGCTGGCGCCCTAACTTCGACAAGCAGGTGTAATTGCGGGTACAAAGAGGGGAGCTACGACTCATAGAACAGAACAGAGTACCAGAGTTGGAAGGGACCTTGGAAGTCTTCTAGTCCATCCCCCTCTCCAAGCAGGAGACCCTATACCATTCCGGACAAGTGGCTGTCCAGCCTCTTCTTAAAAACCTCCAGTGATGGAGCACTCACAACTTCTGGAGGCAAGCTGTTCCACTGGTTAATTGTTCACGAAAGACCAGGAGGGCTAGTGGTTAAAGCAAGGAAGAGGGGAAGGTAGGGCAGGTTTTATTGGGAAGGGAATGGGGTACAACCAACAAATGAGAAACTGAGGAAGCCCCTTTCCAGAAGGGGGGTTACTCTGGTTTTTAAAGGATTAAAAGCAGGAATCCTGTGTTTTTTCAATGCTTTTCCTGGATGTTGGAGGAAACAGGGTGGGCCAAAGGCCTGAAGCATGGCTGGGCACTCTTTCCCATGCTCTGGAGGCAGAAGGAATCCGAGGGTTATGGCAGCATTTCTCAATCTCAGGAACTCAGCCGTGGGAACTTCAACTCTGAGAATGACATTGAAGTGTTTGGAGGATTCTGGGAGTTGAAGTCCATGCCTCTGAAACCTGGGTTAGGCAAGGCGATAGGTTAGTCTCTCCTCAGGCTCAAGGTTGACTCAGCCTTCCATCCTTTCTAAGGCAGGTAAATTGAGGACCCAGTTTGTGGGGGCAATAAGCTGACTTTGTATAAATATACAAAAGGATGAAGGCTATTGCTTAACACATTGTAAGCCGCCCTGAGTCTCCGGAGAAGGGCGGCATATAAATTAAAGGAAAAAAAAAAAACTAGGCAAACTGAAAGGAAGGATCAGAGGAGATATGACAGCAATCTTTCAATATTTGAGGGGTTGCCCCAAAGAAGAGAGAGTCCAGCTATTCTTCAAAACACCTGAAGGCAGGACAAGAAGCAATGGGTGGAAACTCATCAACCTGGAATTAAGGAGAAAATGTCCTGACAGTGAGGACAATTAACCAGGGGAACAGCTTGCCACCAGAAGTTGTGGGTGCTCCATCACTGGAGGCTTTTAAGAAGAGACTGGACAGCCATTTGTCTGGAATGGAATAAGGACTCCTGCCTTGAGCAAGGGGTTGGACTAGAAGACCTCCAAAGTCCCTTCCAACCCTATTTATGTATTTATTATATATTTATTTATTGAATTTATATTGCCGCCTAATCGCCCGTGGCAACTCAATGTGGTTTACAGAATATATTGTTCTATTCTAAATATTAGTGATGCTTTGTGGGCACTTTTAACTCGTTAGCCTGCCGACCTTTGGAAGGAGTTAAAGTCCTTCTTTTAGGAATCTAAACAGGAGCTCCCATTTCCTCCCCATATCTGTTCGCTGGTCAGACTGATGCCTTCTCTCTCTCCTCTCTCTCGTGGCATGTGCTTGGGCTGCCCAGGACCTTCCCGTGCTGTGCGAGATGTGCAAGCATTCAACCACTCCGTTTTTGGCTGCACATTGTGTCTCAGAATTCCCTTCCTTCCTTTCCAGCTGAAATAAAAACACACATGTTTCTTTGGCTTCTGCCTGTCACATGAGCTGGAAGGAAAACTTCGGCAGCAGGCAGTAACATGTGTGTACGTGTGTGTGAGTGTGGGGCCTGTGGTGGTGGGACAAGGCGGAATTGGCTCGGAATTGGCTCGGCCCTTGGAAACAATCCACACCTCAGCAATAACTGCCTACCTCACCCCCCATACCAGTTTAACCTGGCTGTGGTGGGAGGGGACGGAGCTCTGGGAAGGCTGGATGCAAAAGGATGGTCTTTCGAGTAAGAAGGGGAGCTTCAGAGAGACCCACTGGGACCCCCATCCCTGCTGACATCATTGAACAATGCCCACCATAGGTGGGTGGGGGTAGGGGTAGAAGTAAGCTTTCCAAATAATAAAGTTTATTTGTACACCAGCCTCAGCCCCTGAGGGGTGAAGAAGATGGGCAGTTTTAAAATTAAGCGACAGAGATGAGAGACAGACAGAGAGACAGTCCGATCCATCCATCCATCCTGGAGGCCCTCAGCCCAGCCACAGAGCTTCCAGCGTGGTGCTGAAGGGGCCTGGACGGTGGGCTTGACGGAAGAGAGACCGAAGAGAGGCGGGGAGGGGGGCGTCCTTTGCGGGCCGCCGGCCAGAGAGGCTGGGAAGGTCAGGGGGCGTCTGTGGCCGGACCGGGTGCCGCGGGGGGGGGAAGTAAGGCTGGGGGGGGGGGTCGTGCCTGGGCTGAAGCCTTCGCCGCCCGTGGACGCTCTCCCGGGGTCTTCCTTCCGTTCCTTAAACGACGCTCGTCTTTCCTGCGACTCCATCGTTCGGCGGGCCACCGAAGGCAGCTCAGCCCTCCGGGAACGAGCAGGGGAAGACGGCCACGGAGTCGGGAGAGGCCTGCCAGCCGGATCGAGCCTCCGCCGTGGGGGGGAGGGGAGCGCGCCATGGGCTTTGTAGTCCAGCGCGTGGGGCGCGCGAGGGGCCCCGTGGTCCGCGGAAGGGTCTCCGGCGCGTCTCCGCCGACCACGCGGCCGGCCGAAGAGAACAAACAACCCGCCGTTGCCAGGCAACAACGTTCCATGGTCCGCTGACGTCACTCTTCGTTTGTTGACGTTTCCAGGCAACGGCGGCGCTGCCCCGACAACCGCCTGAAGGGGGCGGGCCTCCCCGCCTGGCCAGCCTCCTGAGGGGCGGAGCCAGCGGTGCTTGTGGCGGTTGCTCCGGTGGGGAGAACGGGGCGGGGCCCTTCGCCGGTGCCCCCGCTCCCCCCCGCGTGGGAAAGGCCCTGCCGGCCGCCCCGCCCTGCCTCCCGCGGGAGTCGCGGGGACCTTTGCAGGCACCGGGTCTGCGTTGCGGCTTGGTTGCCACGCGAAGCCCCCGCTGCGCCTGCTTCGGGGCGACCGGGCGGGACAGGTGCTGTCCGGGCTCCGGCGGCGGCGGCGGCTACTCCCGGGCCCTCGGGGCCCTCCGCGGGGGAAAGGCGCTTCTCAAGCTCCCCCTGCCGACCGTGCTGCGAGCGCTCCGAAGGGCGGCCTTATGCGGGAGCCCCCTCCGGCGGAGCAGGCGAGCGGCGGCCGGGCCTCGGGAGGGCCAAGAGGATCGCTGCGCCTTTCCTTGCTCCGGCCCGTTGGCCGCCCGTGGCTGCGGCGGAGGCTGTGAGCAGAAGGCTCCGCCGCGCGGCTGAGGGTGACTGGAGCCCAGAACGGCGTTTCTCAACCTGGGCAGCTTGACGAGGGGCGGACTTCAACTCCGCGAACTCCGCAGCCAGGTGGAGAGAAACCTGCCCTGGAGGTTAAGCAGCGCTCCTGGCCAGGAGATTCAGGGCAGCCGTGCTGGACTAAGACCCAGGAGATGCTGATGGCGCCTCCGCTGGTTTAGGGTTTGGCGTGTGATCTGGCAGTGGGGAGCTCTAAACTAAAAGGTTACCCTTCTTTCAGCGTGACCAAAATTGACCCATGAATTGAATTGAATTGGCTCTTCACACAGCCTTCTGATCCCAGCACATGATGCTCGGTCCATCACCCAAAGCCTTCCAGATGTGTCACCCTTGGAACATGTATGACTGCACCGGTGTAAACAAATCTCATTGCAACAGCTGGTGCGTAAATGATGCGTGCGGGGTTCCTGAAAACACTCAGCATCCAGGAATGGCGCTGGGATGGGGGGAAGCAAGCAGCATGTCCTCTGGGCGTGTGAGAAAGTGGGGTGGGGGGGAGAGAGATTTGCAGCCTAGGGCAGCAACAGGATTCCTTATCTGGGTAAGTGTGTCAGGGAAGGGACCCAGCGGAGCGTTTTGTGTGTGAAAGGTGACTGCAGGCGCTGCGCATTCCAACATTCCCCGCCTGTCTTGCCTGCCAGGAACTGCTGGCAGCGGCAACCCAGCCTTTCCCCACCGGGCTGTGGGCTCTGGCGCCCGTCCAGAAGAATTTGGCCTCTGGCCTCAGTAAACAACAGCCAGAATTGGAAGCCGAAACGTGTTGCTAAGAGACACGTGTTTTGCTTCTGAGAAAATGGGGCCTCCGGGCTGGGAGGGGCTGAGAATGGGGTGGGGGACAGAGGGAGAAAGCAAAGGGGCGAGTAGGTCTCAGGAGTACAAAGTAAAATGTGGGGGGGGGCTTCTGGAATTTCCTCCCCAGAAAAGCTGCACTAGTGCCCAAATTGCATCATTTCAGCACTAGGAAAAACTTTTAAGTTGCATTCTAATGGTAATATAAAATACAAAAGAAAATAATAGGAAAACGGGAGGGAGAAGGAAAAAGAAAAGACATTGGCTTCCAACTCCCTTTGGTGCAGCAGAATAAGATAATAAACCTCAAGTTTTTACTTTTACATAATAACAACAAACATATCCAATTGGTAAAACCCAAAATCAAAGTTTTAATGTTTCTACCTCAAGCACAAAGTCCAGAAATGGTTTCCAAGTAGAAACAAAAGTACTTATGTTTTTTTTCTTTAATCAAAGCTGTCGGTTTTGCCATCTCTGCTAACTCCATCAACTTTTGCAGCCGTTCCTCCATTGTGGGAATCAAAGCGTCCTTCCATTTTTGTGCAAAAAGTGATTTTGCTGCCGTCAACATATATAACATCAAAGTTCAAATTTTCCTCCAAGTCTTTTTCCATTCATTCTAGTGGTATTGCTTTAGATTGTGGTTGTTCAACCTTTTGGCTTGCCTATGCTCATCGAGTGAAGAGGAATTGTCTTGGGCCGCAGATAAAAGATATAATATATATCTAACTAACATTTTTTTTATTTTTTAATACTGTTTATTATCTTGTGGGGCCACATTACTAATTGTCCAGGGCCATGTGCTGGTTGTTGGACTGCGGGCTGGACAGGTCTTCTTTAGAGTTTGACATCTGCCTTGCTGTGGTCAAAGTTGTAGTTTATTTTGCCTTTTATTTGATGTTGTTAGTATATTTCAGCTTAAATTGTCTTGTTTCTTCTTCGGTGTGTTTAGAGTAAACCACCCAGACAGTTCCTGTTATTGGGCAATTTAAAAATTGTGTTCAATAAAAAAAAAATTTAAATTAGAATAATAAATTGTTGCACAACAGATACCCTCTCTACAATATAGCACCCTGTTCTGCTTTTCCTGCCTCAATGGACCTTACAGCTGTTTTTCTCCCTGCCCCTGGTTCTTTTCCTGCCCAGGGTCAAAACGTGGCTTAGTATACACCCTTCCCCTTGGGGCAACTCTGCCACCCCCCTGCCCATTTTCATGCCTGTCCTACAGCTTCCTCACTCTGCCTTTCTGTCTCCTGTGTCCTCTGGGGTTCCAGCATGGTGCCAAGGCAATTTATATAACATCAGACCTGTATCTTTGGGAGGTGCCATGCACAGGTGAAATCCAGCCGGTTCTCACCTGTTCGTCCGAACTGTTAGTATATTGCTTATGCAGTTCAGAGAACCGGTTAAAAATAAAGTGCAAGAGTTTTTTTTCTCTCTCTCTCCCTTCAGTTAATAGCTCCACTTAACTGGAATGCAGCCAATACAGGCTGAATCAAGTCAATAAACAACAGAAACTGACAGGATTAGGGCAGGGAAAACCATCAATAACCCATCTAGGGATGGGATTAACCTTTTCCCTTCAGGAAGGAGGACAAGATTACAAACATTTTCATTACAAAGAGTATTAAGTAACACATCTGTGATCAGCTGATACTCCCTGCAGCTTTTATAGCTGCTGCAATGTTGGCTACTTCTTGTTTCTTCCTGGGGGAAAAGATACAGGAGGAGACAACGATGCAGCTTGATCGTACAGGCCCTGAATTTAATGCATGTGTGGTCCAGCCAGCTGTATGGCTTCAGCTGTGAAGCACCCACTTTAGAACATAGAGAACATAGAATAATAGAGTTGGAAGGTTTAATGGCTTTTGGCAGCACGCCCAGGCTTTCAATTAGCCTGAGCAGCTGCTCTTAGTTTCCCTCTCAGCTGCTGCGTTTGCTCTGGGGTTGATGTTTTTAAAAATGGGGAATGGCTGTTTTAAGTTTTCTGCATTTAGTGGTTCCTGGCACTGTCCTTTTGGGGTGTACTTCCCTCACTCTTTTTGAAAGTCTCTAGTGATGGCAATCTATTCCATTGGCTGATTGGTCTCACCCATAGAAAATTTCTCCTTAGTCCTAGATTGCTTCTCTCTTGGTTAGTTTCCATCCATTGTTTCTTGTTTTGGTGCTTTGGAAAATAGATTTGATTCCCTCATTTTTGTAGGAGCCACTCAAATTTCCTGACAGAAAAATTAATCAATGGAACAACTTGCCTCCAGAAGTTGTAAATGCTCCAACACTGGAAGTTTTTAAGAAGAGATTGGATAATCAGTTTTCTGAAGTGGTGTAGGGTTACTCTGTTATTCTATGCTCTTCTAAATATTGGAACAGTGCTATTTTATTATGAGTTGGACTAAGGAGAAATTTCCTAAGGCTGAGACCAATCGAGATGGCCGCACCTACCCAGTCACATGACCCATTTCCCACAGAAAACACTGGGAGCCACAAAACCTGGGCAGGTGTGGCTGGGGTGTGTGTCATGTGACTGGGTGGGAGTGACATTGAGTTGGCCACACCTGCCCACCCAGTCACATGACCACCAAGCCACACCCACCCAGTCACATGACCTCCAAGCCATGCCTACAGAACCTGTAGGGAAAAATTTTGAATTTCACCTCTGGTGCCATGCCTTAGTGGTTAAAGACTTGTCAGCTGGAGAGCTGACAGCCCAGGTTCGAGACCTGAGTGCCACGCAATAGGGTGAGCTCCTATGCCTTGCCCCAGCTCCTAGCAATTCAAGTGGATAAATTGGTGCCATGTGCCTCAGCGTACAGTCATGCTGGCCACATAACCATGGAAAGTGTCTTGGACAATGCTGGCTCCCTCCGCCAGGAAGCGGAGATAAGCAACCTCCCCCGAGGGTTGGACATGACTGGAAAGGGGAAACCTTTACCTGCATGTTATGATTGCAAAGCTCCAGGCCAGGGAAGGACATTCCGTGGAGAGCCACCTGGGCCCCAGAAATAGATTCCTGGCCTCAGCCTGGCATTGCCCCGGAGTGCTTCATTTATGGAAGTGTCCCTGGATTGGCTGCAGGAATGGGGGAATTTTACAAGCAATTGCAGATTGGCGTCCCTTTCTCTCCTTGTGGGTTATCTCAAAGTTTCCAGCTGTCCTGCAGTGTCTCTGTAAGGAAGGAGGAAGATACTGTGCAGCCGAAAAGTTGCAGAAAAAGAGCAAATAGGCAGCTGAAGCCCTTTTTCAGAAAAAAGGCAAAAAACAGGGAAAAGGGGAGAACAGAACAACCTTCTCCAATCCAAGGTCATGTGGTCACCGAATTTCAGTCAACTGAGCTAAAGCTGTAAGGAAGCAAAATTCCAGCCACGCCACATATCCAGACATTGTTTAGAAAAGGAAATTTCGAACCAGATAGCAGGCTGGCACGGCCTGAGTTGTAGCCTGGTCCTTCCAAGGAGGCCCCTCCAGACATCCCAGTTAGCGAGAGCTGTGCCTTCTGGACATTCAGAAGACCACTCCCCACCTGCCCTCGGTCCCTTTCACTTCCAGGACCTGCAATGTGCAACACATATGAGAACGGCTTTTTCACCCCTCCCCAACCAGGCATCGGCTTCCATTTTCTACAGCTGTGGCTGGATTTCTACCGGAGTTCCCAAAGGAAGTACATCTGCTAGGAAAGAGGGAGCAAATGCCAACGGGACAAAAGGGTGGACTTATCTTCATGCAGGGTGGGTCTTCTATCCCCTGGGAGGGGGGACTGGGCCCGGAGGGTTGCATGTGCAGCTCAGAGGTGCTGGCAGGCTCAGGGGAGCAGCCAACTGGGGTCAGCAGCTTTGTCCTCAGCCAGACCTGCAAAAGCAGCGATGGGGCCGGTTGGAGATCCAGGTCACCCAGGATATTGATTGGAAGATGGAAGAGGCTCAGCTGGAGGAATGAGCTGGCAGCAAACTGAGATTTTGGGACGAGATATGCTGCCTGCAAAGGGTCCATCTGGCTCTGGTGCTCTGGGTATCAGCGCTTCCCCCAATCAACAACCCCCCCCTAAAAAAACCCTTTCTATTCAGGTCCCGAAGGTGCTTTTCCAAGAGGCACTTGGACTTTCTGGTTTTTCTTTGAAGACGTTTTGCTTCTCATCCAGGAAGCTTCTTCAGCTCTGACTGGATGGTGGGGAAGGGAAGGATTGATCCTCCTTGAGGCTTCCTGTTGAGGCTTCCATTCCTAAGCGGTGCGCTCTTCTCTGTGCAGGCCTCCTCCATCAGGCCACTTTTTCCAACACTTCCGGCGGGGTGGGGTGGGGAGTGTCCTGATGCCGAGTCCTGTGGACTGTAGGAAGAGTCAGTCCCTCCGCCTGGCTGTTCTTTCGGGATGGTCAGCAGGCAAAGCTCACACCCCCTTCCGCCCTGGGATGCCCGGAGGGGGCAAGCTAAGGGCAGGCAACGGGGAGGGGGCTGAGGGGCTCAGAGCCCCGCGGGAGCCTTCTGGGAAGAGCTGCAAGAGAGTCCCGCCGACCAGTCAGCAGCGAGATACGCGACGGGCGCCGTGGCCTCCGCATTCCTTCCGACGTTCAGCTGGCTCGGCGGAGCGCGGCCCTCGGGCGGCCTCTGGCGGAGCGGCTGCAGAAGGGCGGCGAGCCCCCGGACAAGGCGCGCCAGCCCCTCTTCCCTCCGGCCGCGCGGGTGCCGAGGGCTCGGCGGGGAAAGAGCAAGTCCTCCTCGCGGATCGCGGCGGGCGAAGAAGGCGGGTCGAGGGTCTCGAGGCTCCGCTCCGGCTGCGGCGCCCTCGTAGTCCCGGGGCGCGCCCCTCGGGGGGCAGAGGCCGCCGGACCGTTCCGGGCCGCCTGAGCCCCGCCGGCCTCTGATTCAGCCGCTGCGCCGGCGCCCGCGTCATCCCGGCCGGGCCGCGGCTCCAGAGGAGGCTATTTCGGGCGCGGCGGCCCTAAAAATAGCGCGGGGGCTGCTCCCTCTTGCGCGCCACGCGTCAGCCGCGCTATTCATAGCCCTGCGCGCGCTCGCCCGGGAAGCCGCCGCCCGCCGGACCGAGCCCGCCGCTGCCGCTGCGGCTGACGGCATTGCGCCGCCCCTCCTGTCTTGCGCCGCCCGGCCGCGCACCTGCTTCACGCGCATCTCAGCGTGGAGGCGCGCACGTCTCTCCGCCCCCCCCGCCCCGTCGGGTACATTCACAAGTGACGCGGAGAACACGCCTCCCGGTCTCGGCTGAGTCACCGGTGAGGTAAAAGCCGGCCTCAGCCGAGGAGGGGCTGGTGGCGTCGGTGCCCGTCGCCCAGCTGGTCCGGGAAGCTAAAAAAAGCAGCGCCAGGCACGTCATGACGCACCGAGCCTCCTTGGGTAGGCGCAGTCTACCCGGAGGGCGGGCGACGGGCAGGGCCTGGCCTTGCTTCGCACCCTTTCTCGTCCGATGGCCGCATTTCGGGGTTAGGTGCTCTTTCTTTGTAAGGCGGCCAGTGTCGTGTGAATTACTGTCCGCCCGCCTCCCGGGAGGCCTGGCTTTTCGAACATGGGAGTGCATGGCTAGCTGTGGGTGACGGGTGATGTAGTCCAAGCCTTTTGGAGAAACCCGGGGAGGGAAGGCGCTTTGCAAAGCGGCCTTTAGAGGCCGGAATGGCCAACTTTGCACTCGGGCAGCCCATGGCATCTCCCCTCCCCCCTCCCGGGGCAGAAGCGCTCCAGCGTACAGGAAGCACTGAAGGGGTGCGACTGTGCTGGAGGGTCTGGGTCGCTTCCAAGACGGGGAGGGGGCTTAGAGAAGGGGGCAACGCTGGGGAAATCTGGATGCCCACCAAGCAGAATGCCCAGGACAAGGACTCTTCCTCCCCGCATTGGCCTGCTCGGAACCACGGCCAACTTCTCCTCTTCCAGTGGAGAAGAACTGATAGTCCCCAAAACTGTTTGCAACTGAAGACCTTCATTTACAGCCGTCTCCAGCTTGAAATAAAGTCAGAGCTGAAATTAGAATATTGAAAGGATCGGAGAGATTCCTAGCCACAAGATGGTGCCATGTGTTTTTCTCTGTGTGACTGTGTGTGTGTGAGAGAGAGAGAAAGGGGGGGGTGGTGGGAAAGAAAGAAAGAGAAAACATGAACTGATCCCATAAATATCTTTACAGTACAGGTAGTCCTCAACTTACAACCACAAGTAGCCCAAAATTTCTGTTGCTAAGTGAGACAGTTAACTTTTGCCCCATTTTACGACTTTCCTTGCCACCTTTGTTAAGTGAATCACTGCAGTTCTTAAATTAGTAACACAGTTGTTAAGTGAATCTGGCTTCCCCATTGACTTTGCTTGGCAGAAAGTCGCAACCTGACCCTGGAACACTGCAGCCGTCATAAATGGGAGTCAGTTGCTAAGCATCCGAATGTAAATCACATGACCATGGAGATGGTGGAATGGTCATAAGTGTGAAAAATGGTCACTTTTTGGATTTTTTAGAAAGGGAGGTAGAAGGACCAGGGCTGGGAAATCAAGACCAGCCTACAGGGAACTGCCATCTCAAATGGGGAAGTAGCTGATGGGGCTATTGGGGTTTCCCAGGGTTGGTGCAAAGGCCGCCCGGCTGCCCAGTCAGATTGAGAAGCAACTGGCAGAGCTCTGGTCTTCCATCATTCCAGGCATGGCCAGATGGTCAGCCGTCCTGCCTTTGCCTTCTCTGCCCATGTGGCCCTCCCTCCGCTTCGACTTCTACAGAGTTACATTTCATTTGTAGACTATGGGTGTCCAATTTGGGAACCTTAAGACTTGTGGTCTTTGACTCCCAAAATTCCCCAGCCGGCTTCTGGGAGTTGAAGTCCAGAAGTTCCAAGAGTGGATACCACCAGTCTAGGGTCTCCTGCTTGAGCAGAGGGTTGGACTAGAATACCCCCAATGCCCCTTCCAAGTCTCTTCTTCTTCCTTTTGGTCGTGTTTCTCTTCCTGCACTTTGTCAGGCGTCATCAAATCTCTCCTTCGTCAGCCCTGGGGAGCTCATGTGCAGAACAGCCTGTGAAGCCTCCTCTCCCCCCCAATCATTTATCCCAGCTCCAGCAAGATGACCTTGACTGCTGTTTCTTGGGAAAGTATGGGCCCACCCTTGTAAGCAATCTTTGCACAGGCTTAGAGGAAGGACAGATGGAGGCGGGTGGGACACCTGAAGCTGCAGCCTTCCCATCCACATCACAATCCCTCATCCCCAAACACTGGATTATGGGTCATCAAGTCAGGGTCAGTGCTTAGCGACCACACAGATTTCCTCCAAGCACACTGGGGACCTGAAAATAAATCTCCCGGCCATTTCTTCTTGTTAGAGCAGTGACAGACAGGATGAATGCTGGCTGGGGAATTCTGGGAGTTGAAGTCCACACAAGTTGCCAACTTTGAAAAACAGTGGTAAGGGGCCAAAAGACTCCCGAGTTCCCTTCCTCACAGAAACCCCCCTCCCTTTTCCCGTTTGCAATCCAGCCGTGCCTCTCAAAAAGGGAGCTGCAGTAAGAATGAGAGTCAGGAAGCCCCGGGGTAACAAATGGAGCTTCATGGCCATCCCAGCCTCATCCCAGCCGGCCACCAGGGAGGCTCCACTCGGTTGAATCCACAGGTTGACGTGGGAGCTACCCACCAGCGTCGCTTACTGGAGCGGCCGGGCGGGTTTAGCCTGCCGTAGGGCCCCGCGGGCTGCTTCCCACCTTAAGGGGTCCGTGAGGTGAAGGGCACCGGGCGCGCGTGTGAAGCGGGCTCCGGTGCGCGAAGGGAAGGAGCCAGCGGACTACACGCGCATCTCCTAGCGCGCGGCGTTTGCTTTAAAGCCCCGCGTGGGCTTAAACGAGCTCAGGTGGCGTCAAATGAACCCGGAGCGGCCCTCAATACGGCCGGCTGAACCGAGGGAGCAGAGCGGCAACTGAATTCTGCCCAGCCTGAAGGCAAGTAGCAACTTCCCGCACCCGCAAACAGACCCCGGCAAGGAAGGCAGCTTTCCGCGGGGGAGCCTGCTTTCTTGTCCGTCGCAAAGGTGGGAAGGTCGCCACCCCCCCCACTTCGTGGATCAAAGCAACCTGCAGCTCCGTCCTCTGCCTCCTCCGAGTCCCGCCCGAGGCGACGGCGTTTCCCACCACAGCGCTCCCCACGAGGTGGGTCCTCTGGAGCCGGGAGGCGCGCCCGCTCCCGAAGCGTCCGGGAGCGGCATCCAGGGACCTAGAGGTTGCCGCGTAACCCCTGCAGACCCCCGCCTGGCCTGTCGGAACCCTTCCAGTTGCCTTTGAGGGCTGGCAGGGAGCGGGCCTTAGAGCTCACCATCCGAGGCCCTTGAGAGTTTGGCCCCGTTGTCTGGAGCTGGGGTGGCTGCGCGCTGAGCCTGCGCTGCAACTACATAGATCCTAAAGTACTGGCTAAGTCTCGGCCGCTGTTAAAGTTGTTTCCACAGTTTCTACTGAAACATGCAGTATTACTATATTTGTTGGGAACATTTATATTGTACCTCTTAAACCAAAACTGCTTCCCTCAATAGATTAAAAACAGCAGTACTGTAATGGATAAAATCTATATTAAATTATTAATACTAGGCAAGGTCAGCAAAGTTTCCTAGAATAAAATTGGAAAGGAGCAAAATGGCTGGTCTGTAGCTTTTTGCCTAGTCCTCCAGAAGTCAATGGACCCTCCCATCAGACAGAAGGCTGCTTGCCCCCTGACACTCCCCAGGGCTTATTCCAACAGGTGGGGCAGCGGAGAGGGGCTGCCCATCTGCAGGGTTCCTTCCTTGGTGGTAGTGGTGATGTGTGTGTGTGACCTTCTGTTTCCCATCCTGCGTTCCCAGCCAAGGTTTGATGTACAGCTTTAAGAATGCAGAGGAATCTGGGCTAAGCATAATGTGGCCTTGCCACAGAGGACCAAACTGAAGGGTGCCACCCTTGTGCCATGAGAGCTCCTGCAAGGGTCTGGCTGTCTCTCCCACCCACCCCACCCCCCACTTTTGGGGCTGGCCAGGGTGGTGGTGGTGGAAGTGGCTCCACTCTGTATGTGTTTCTTCCCAATAGGCTGTGCCCCATTGCTCCTCCCCTCTGCCCCTTCTCCGCCTTTGGGCTGGCCCCTCTCTGTGCCTCTTATAGCTGCTCTTTGCTTTCCATGAAAGCAGATCCGACGGGTACCGACTGCCAGGCCCTGCCGGGCTTCTTGGCCGTGCCCAGTCTGTGCCTGCTTCTGCCTCTCCTTTGTCCTATTAAATCTGACCCCCCATCTGAAATTTGTCCAGTTCCTATCTCACCCCCACCCCCTTCTTCTGAGCAGTTGTGAAGCCAGGAGGATTCAGGAGGCCATGCCTGGTTACCTGCTGGCAGCTGCCATCCTCTTCTGGATGCAGGTGAGAAACTGTGTGGTTCCCTGGTGGGGGTCAGATCAGATTAACAGAGTTGGAAGGGACCTTATAGGTCATCTAATCCAACCCCCCCTCAAGCAGGAGACCCTACACCATTTCTGACAAATGGCAGTCCAATCTTTTCTTGAAACTCCCAATTGATGAAGCTCCCCCAACTTCTGAAGGCAACTTCTGTTCCATTGGTTGATTGTTCTCACTGTCAGAAAGTTCCTCCTCATTTCTAGGTTGAATCTCTCCTTGGTCAGTTTCCATCCATTATTCCTTGTCTGGCCTTCAGGTGCTTTGGAAAACAGCTTGACCTTCTCCTCTCTGTGGCAGCCCCTCAAATATTGGAACACTGTCTCCCCTGGTCCTTCCCTTCACTAGATTAGCTATGTCCGGTTCCTATAACCGTTCTTCATATGTTTTAGTCTCCAGTCCCCTAATCATCCTGGTTGCTCTCCTCTGCACTTTTTCTAGAGTCTCAACATCTTTTTTATAGTGGGGTGACCAAAACTGGATGCAGTACTTCGGTGTGGTCTTACTAGGACTTTATAGAGTGGTATAAAAATAGAATATAATTTTTTATTGGCCAAGTGTAATTGGACACACAAGGAATTTGTCTTGGTGCATATGCTCTCAGTGTACATAAAAGAAAATATACGTTCCTCAAGAATCATAAGGTACAACACTTAATGATAGTCATAGAGTACAAATAAGCAATCAGGAAACAATATCAATATAAATTGTAAGGATACAAACAACAAAATTACAGTCATACAGTCATAAGTGGGAGGAGATGGGCGGTGGGAACGATGAGAAGATTATTAGTAGTGCAGACTTAGTAAATAGTTTGACAATGTTGAGGGAATTATTTGTTTATAGGTCCAGACCCCAAGCTCCTCTTCCCATGGCATGGCGTCCTGCGAATGGCCAAGCCTGCTGTGGAAGGACCAGGTTGGCAGTGGTGGTAGCTTTTCCACAAACATATGTTGCCACCTGGCTTGACTGGCATGACCATACACAGAGCAGCTCCTGGAGCGAAGAGCGACCTGCTCTCTGCCCCCTGCAGGAGACCCAGACAGGTGCCTGGCTGCATCTCCCTCTAGTGGTCATCAGTGATATAGAAGCTTCTTGATTTCAAGTTACCCATTGCATTGTGACCACTGGGCTGGAACCACCGAGGAGAAGGCACTTGGGTGAGGTTTAAACCATTCTACACCAGCAGTTTTCAAACTTGGCCACTTTGGGACGTGTGGACTTCCACTCCATGCTGACTGGGGAATTCTGGGAAATGAAGTCCGCATTAAAGCGGCTAAGTCTGAAGAACACTAACCCCGCCCCCCAGGTGGAGGACTATAAGAGTGGCTGGGGTGCAGACGTGTCCTCGCCTTTGGCACTTCCTGGTTTTCTTGCTTTCCTCCCATCTGTGATGCCCCTAGGTGCCAGCTTCAGGCATCTCTGCTGACTGGGCCTCTCTCTTGCAGGGTTGGTTGTCAGGCAAGGAACAAGGCAAGTACCCCATTCCTCTTCTAAGGTCTCATCCAGTAAATGGGGGCAGGGGCAGTGCCCAGAGCATCGCTCCTGCCCTTGAAAAGAGCAGGTGGCAGACAAGGGGACCCCCGGCTCTCCCCTCACCCCTCTGCCAGAATCTCTGGGTGAAATCTCTGGCAGAAATGCCGCCCTGCCACCTGTGTGTTCAGAGCACGTGGAAAAGGGCTCAGTGGGAGGGGGAGGGGAGATACGGCCCAGCTGGAGAAGAGGAGGGTCTACCTAGCCCACCATCCTGGCTTTTTCCCAACCGGGGGAAAGGAAGGCTGTCCTTGGGGCTAAGGCAAGAGGCGAGGAGGGGCTCCGAAAGCTGGGGCAGCGTCTGACCCTCTTTGTCCCTTCCTCAGAGATGCCTTATATGCAACTGTACAAGCGCAGTTCCTGCCAGCCCAGAGAGGTGCTGGTCGACATCCTCAAAGAACACCCCCAGGAGACTGCCGACTTCTTCAAGCCCTCCTGTATAGTCCTGCAGCGATGTGCCGGCTGCTGCAATGACGACAGCTTGAAGTGCTTCACTGTGACAAAGCGCTCCGTCAGTCTGCAGGTCAGGGGCAATTCCTGCCTCTGGGGGGGTCAGGATAGCTCTGGGGGAGTCAGGTTGGTTCTCGGGGGCTGGGAAGAGCAGAGCCCAGCCTGAGACTGCTGCTGGAGTGCAACCGAACAGCTGCGTCTCTCCTTGGGTAGGTCATGCGGGTGAACCCTAACACACAGATCTTGCGGATGGAATGGATGCACTTCACGGAGCACCTGACATGTGAATGCAGGTGAGGGAGGGGACCAAAGAGCAGCCCTCCTGGGTGGCTAGTCAGTGGATGTGGGATGGGGAGAATTGCTGGAGGTGGAAGACGACAAGCAGCTCTTGACTGAAAACCCTCTCCCTTCCCCTCCCCTCCCATTTTGCTTGCTTGCTTGCTTCCTCCCATCTTTTATTATTTTTACAAATAAGGTGGCGAACATATCCCTCCTCCTATTCTCTCCATCACAACAACCCTGTGAGGCGGGTTGGGCTGAGAGAGAGGGACTGGCCCAAAGTCACCTGGCTCCTTTTCCATACTGGGGCCCCTGAGCAAGGAAGGCTGCTGCAGAGGGCCGCTGAGCAGGAGGAGAGAGGTGGAGGGTGCAGATCTGTGCAGGTTGGGGGGGTGCCTCCTCTCCTCTCCTCTCTCCTCCTCTACCTGGAGCCCCCAGCCCTGGGTCGGCTTCTGTGCCTGCTGGCCGTGCAGAGTGCAAACAGGTTACTTCCTCTTTCCAGGCCTCGGATAGTGAACAGGACAAAGAACGGGAAGAGTCGGAAGCGCAAGAGGTACCTGGAGTGGGGCTGTGGGGGCTAACAGAGTTGTGAGGGACCTTGGAGATCTTCTAGTCCAACCCCTGGCTCAGCGGGTTGGGGCAGGAGGGGAGGGGCTGTCTCAGAGCTGCTTCTCCAAGATGGCTGCTTGAGCTGAACTCTTCTCTCCCCACTTTGCAGGAGCCAAGCGGAAGGGGAGCCGAGAGCCAGACTCCCCTTTATCTGACCAGCCTTTGACTCCAGCAGCCCTTGGAGGTGGAAGGCTCTGGTCTGCAGAGGCCAGCTGGGGTGGCCCTGGGTCCCTGTTCTTTCTGGTGCTGGGGGTGGGTGGGTGGGTGGGAAAGGGAGGCATGTCCAACTTCTGGAGAAGTTGCTGTGTGTCTATGTGCCTCCCCCATGTTTTTTGAACTACAAAACACATCACTCCCAGCCAGCAGGGCCAGAACTGAAGACCCAGCACAGCTTCCTTTTCGAACAACCCAACAACGGAGTTTGAATTTCTGGCACCTTTTTCTTACATCTGAAAGCCAAGGTTGACCCCCTATCTCCCTTAGGCTTTGCCATTCTCTCAGCTTTAATGGCTTTTAGTAACATTGTCCTTGTAATACACAATTTTTAAAATTAGAATTTAATCTCTCCCGGCTCCTCATCAGGGGATCTGGGGGAAAACATTTAGTTTCTTTTAAAGAATGCGGAATTATTTCTTTCGCCCCCATCTGGACCTGCATGATTTTTACAGAGCCTTTGAATAAATGGAGTAAACTACAGGTGGCTTCCTTGCTTTACTCTCAGTGTACAACAGGTGGTGCTGTTCTGTAAGGATTGCCAGTTTTTAAGCAACACCTGTCTCCTGATGTGTTCACCTCTGCAAGGCTTGAACTCAGACCCGAGTTTGTGTACTTAGGAGGTCGTTTGCGATCCCAGCCTGTGGCTTCTGGCCGCAAAACCGCCACTCTGTTTCCCTGACACCTGAGGGCACCTGGGGAGGCCGGAGCCAAGTCCTGACACCTGTCTGGGTGAGAAGCTTAGTACAAGAATTGGTAGGTGTGGCGGGACCCCCCCCCCCTTAGTGCCTGTCAACATGGCCACAATTTGGTGGTGTGCTCAGCAGCCTGGAAAAGGGGCTGCTTGTTCCCCGAAGAGAAGCAACCCTGCGAGTGGCCTCACTTGACGGCCCTCCGGCTCCGGAAGGGCTGCCTGTCTTTGAAAGGCAGCCAGGGCTCCAATCAGGCGGCTGTCCTGTCCCCAGCCAGCATCAGTTGGCTTAAAGCTGCCAAGTTTGGAGGCTCCTGCTCTGGCTGGAGAATTCTGGGAGTTGCAGCCCACAAAGTTGCCATGTTTGGGGAGCCCTGGTTGAGTTCCCCTCCCCCCGCTTTGCTGGCTGCTTAAATTAAGAGGGTTTCACACGGCTCCACCGAGGTGCATTATGTGCTGTAAAGCTTTCCCGCGAGGGCCTGTGTGCATGTTTGAACACTGTACAGGTAGTCCTCGATTTACGACCCCAATGGTGACCAAAGTTTCTGTTAAGTGAGACAGTTGTTACATGAGTTTGTTCCTTATGACCTTTCACTGCAGTTGATACGTTAGTAACACCGTTGTTAAATGAATCTGCCTTCCCCATTGATGTTGCTCGTCAGAAGGTTGGAAAGGGGGATCACGTGACCTTAGGACACAGCAGCCGTCATAAGTATGAGCCGGTTGCCAAGCCTCTGAGTTTGGGGATGCCGCAAAGGTCGTAACTCTGAAAACCGGTCCTAAGGCACTTTCTTCAACGCCGTTGTCACTTTGAATGGCCTCCAAATGAAGCGTTGTAAGGGGAGAACTCCCTCTGCTCTTGCGGCGACTGCCGGTGGCTGCGGGGAGTCTGGACGGACTTCTGGGCTGCAACCGGAGGCGCCTGAAACCCGCCGGGACTTGACGGACGGCGCGCATGGAGCGAAACCCATTCAACTAAAAGACCAATTTGACCCCCCCGGAGGATCCTCGAGTGCTGCCCCCTAGTGGCGCCTTCAGTTCCGTTTCCCACCATCGTCTCGGGAGGGGCGGGGCGGGGCGGGGCGGGGGAGGCGGCCGCGGAGCCGCTCAGTCGCAGCACTCTGCACCGGCTCAGAGGCCGCCCTCCGCTCTGGGGCAGGGCGAGGCGGGGGCGGAGGGGAGGGGAGAGGCGGGGGGCATTCCAGAGACGTGCGTCACGCGGGGAGCGCGGGGGCCGCCGGGAGTTGTAGTGCAGCGCCAGCCCCGCTCCAGGTGCGCGCTCCGCTTCTCCCCGCGCGCCCATCCCCAGCCGGCCTCCGCATCGGGTGCCGTCCGAGGCCGCGGCGGTCCCCGACCCGATCGCCCAGGGGAAAGCCGGGACGGTTCCCTTGAAGCGGCTTCCGCCCGCAGCAGGCGTCGGCTCACCTGGGGGGGCGGGGTCTGCCGCGGGAGGCGGCGCGGACTGCAACTCCCAGGGTGCAGCGCGGACACCTGCGGGCGGGGCGGGGCTGTCCGGCGGCGGCGGCGGCGGCGAGTCTAGCGGAGCCCGAGCGAGCGCCCCGCGGGAGGCAGAGGAGCGGCGGAGGGTCCCGGCAAGCGCGGCCGCAGCTCAGCTCCCCGCCGCAGGTCGGTGGCGGGCGGGGCGGGTGCCGGGGCCGGCTGCGGGGCGCGCGGGGCTTCGCCGAGGAGCCCGCGGAGGGCGGGGGGCTGGCCGGGGGGGAGGGAGGCGCGGCCGGGCTCCGGCGGAGAAGGGAGCGCCGCGCTCTCGGGTGCCCGAGGCCCCGGCAGCCGCCGACTGAGCGGCCCCGTCGGGGGAGCCCGGCTGGAGACTCCGCTCCGCTCCGCTCCTCTCCGGACGGGCCGGGCGAGGGCAGAGCGGCCGCCCCCTTCTCCGCGAAGAAGCGGCGAGGGAAGGCCGGCCGAAGCCTCTGAGCAGGTCCGGCGGGAGCTGGGTCTTCCCGGGGGGAGGGCAGAGGGGTGGTCGCGGCCTTTCCGGGGCAGCCAGGATTTGGGCCCCTGGCAAAGCCCCTCCCGCCTCCAGATGTGCCCGAGGGCAGGGCAGAGCCAGCGGGGTCGCCGAGGGTCCTTCTCTTGCAGCCGGACCTTGGCTGAGAGCCAGGATTGCCCTCTCCGCTGATCACCCAGCCGGCAGCGCCCAGGCTAAACTTCTTCCCCGCCCCTTGCAGGTGGCTCCAGACCCCACGCGGATCTCCCCCTGGAAGAAACGAGGTGGGAGGAAGTCTGTAGGGAGCTGGATCCCACGCTGGCCCTTGCCTGGTGCAGCTGCCTCCATCTCTGCTTCTGAGGGCGGGGGGGGGGCTGATTCTTCCCTTCTTGCTGATCCCCAGCATTCAGAGATACGCTGCTCCTGTTCAGGGAGGTTCCACTGCTCTCCTGGCCAGGGGCTGCTGCTGGCTGGCCCCTCCACAGCTGGCTCGGTCTTTCCAGCTCTCTAGGAGCCTTTGGGGTGTGGACACCCCTGATCTTCTGTCAAGGGGGGGGCAGCTTGAAAGGGGATGAGTGAGCCAGCGAGGGAGAATGCAGTTCTGCTAAACCTGCCCTGCTTTATCGGGTGACCTTTTCAGGCTAACCATCAACACGTCAGCCTGCAGCTATGCCAGGCTCTTTGTGTGGCAGACTCTGCTGTTTGTCTGTCTGTCTGCCTGTCCCTGGGTGGGAAGTCTTTGGGGTGGAGCAGGTTCCTTTCCTCAGGCCCACAGCCACGCAAACTGCCTGGCTGCTTCCTGCATTGGTGGCCACTGGCTGTGACAATTGGCATTCTGGGCACATTCTGGGCAAGCTGCTAGCTAGCCTCTGGAGCAGTCAGATGGCTGTTGGGAAAAAGTCCCTGACCCAGGCCCCAAGTGCCTTGCTGATGCCCTGGGCCAGTGCGTTCTTGGTCTCCCAAAATCTCAAGCTTCGGTGGCCCTCGTTTGCTCTGTCAGCCAGAACCTACTGAGATCAGGTGTATGTTACCCATAGCTCCTTGGATATTCCTGAACTGCAGATCCCAGGCCATTGTTCCTGTGTGTTGGGGCTGGAACATCTGGAGGGCTACACATCCCTGGCACTGTTGGGCTCCTGCAGCAATCTTCTGGGCCAGCTGTTGAGGCAAAGAGCTGCTCAGATAGAATGAAATGAAACCTATTAACCTTTTGGATAAAATGGATCCCGTGATGAGTTTTGCTCTGTTCCGGTGCAATTATAATGTGGAGAAAACAAACACCAAGTGCAGATATGTGGCTATTTATTTACTGCTGTTTACCTCCTGCTTTCTAATAAACAGGTCATCAGTGGCTTACAGGGGTGATTAATGCTGACCAGCTAAGAGAGGACTCCAGATTCTGCTTCAAATCCTAAGGGGTAGCACCAGCCCTGATGGAGCAGAACTGTTTGCCCCTTTAGAATAAGCAAAGTCTCCATCTGAGACGTCAAGACAGACTTTGGAAATTGAGCCATTTAACCTTTTAAAAATGGATTTAAGTGTAACAACTCTGTACGATTGCTCACAAATGCTGGGCACCTTGAATTGACGTTCTTGGGTTGTTTCTTGGTCCAGGAGAAAAAAGAAAGGAAGATATTGTATTAATGCATAAAGTCAATAATGGATTAGGGAAAAATGTGGTTGGGTAGCTTAATAGATGGCTTTTGTCTTCCCTGTAAAATATGATAAATGAAAAATTGCTGTTGCAATGTTACACAATGCTTCCTACTCAGAGTAAACTGGGTCGGAGATCTCAGCTGCTCTGCTGTTTTGTCAAGTTGGTGCCAACTGGAGTCTGTTTGGGCTGGTGGGGGATATTAATCTAACTCCCCCTCAGCCACTTTAAGATGGGGGCACTTCAGCTCCCAGAATCCCTCAGCCAGCGGGCCAGGGAACTCTGGGAGTTGAAGTCCACCTGTCTTAAAGTGACTGATGTTGAGAAACACCCGTCTAACCAGTTGTGCTGGGCCTGGTTGGGAAAAACTGGGATGGGCCCTGCAACCATCCCGTGCAGATGCAGAGAGAACATGTCACATGGGAGAAAAAGTCCTTTTTTTCCTTGCTCTGTTTGAGAAGTCAGGATTAAAAGGGACTCGTTTTAGCTTCTTCCAGGCTGGAGCAACTTAAGATCATTTAAGGTCGCTTGGCAACTGGCAGGTATTGACACCGGTTGCCGTGTTCCAGGTCACATAAAGTCAATGGGGGAGCCAGATTCACTTAACCGTCTGACTAACTTAACAGTGGCAGTTATTCACTTAACGACTGGTAGGAAAGATTATAAAGTGGGGCAAAACTCACTTAACAGCTGTCTTGCTTAGCAGCAGAAATTCTGGGCTCCATTGCAGTTGTAAGTCGAGGATTCCCTGCATGGAGTTTTCTGCTCACAGTCTTTTGTGCCTCCTTCCGAGGAAGACCAGCAGAAGTGCGTAGACTGGCCTTTCCCGGCCTAGTGCCATCCAGCTGTGCTGGACCAGCTCCCATCATCAGCCCAAGTGGTGGTGGACTGGGAGGGGGGTCCCGTCAGAAAGACCGTGGCCCCACCCTGCTGCAAGACTGGCAGGACTCCACAGCGGCTGAATGGAAGGGAGAGATTTTTGTTTTTAATCTGTATCCTCTGTATCCTTCCTTTATGATGTTTACAAACAACTCAAGGCAGCAAACACAGCCTTCCTCCTCCTCCTCCTATTTTCCCCACAACAACAACCCTGCAAGGTGGGTTAGGCTGAGAGAGAGTAAATGGCCCAAACTGGCTTTCATGGCTAAGGCAGAACTTGAACTCATGGCCTCCCACTTTCTAGCCTGATGCCTTAACCGCTAGACTTGAAGTGGCTGCAGATGCTGAGATAGGTGCTCCTTATTGGTTCCACAAACCAGGTGAATTCTGCTCATGCTCAGAAATTCCTTCTTGTTTACTCTTTCTCCAGAGCAGGAACTCCAGACTTGCAAGATTCTTACAATAAAAGCAGAGTTAGTCCTCACGGTTTTGGTTTCCTGCCTGGACTAGCTCAGACATCTGACATCAGCCTTTGCGAGCCTGGGAGCGTTCCCCCCTCCCTGCCTCTGCTTCCCAGAGAATTAGGGGAGAGGGTCCCTCCTGAATCCCATCCCTCCTTTGGATTCGGATTTCTCTTTATTTTTCCTTGGTCGCCTTCTCCCCAAGGTTATTCTCACAGCCCATTACAGGGCTGGAGAAATGCTTGCTAAGCCATGGGTTCTTTAAAATGTATTTTGGGGGGGGGGGCTCTGTTTTACATTGCAGCCCTTTATTAAAAGTTTCGAGCAGGGCTGTCCAACTTTGACAACATTTAGACCTGTGGACTGCTAACTCCCAGAATTCCCCAGCCAGGAAAACTGGCTAGGGAATTCTGGGAATTGAAGTCCACAGATTTTAAAGTTGACACAGATACCCCTGGCTTAGAAATTCCTCGCTTTGTCTTCAGTTGTTGAGAGCAAAAAGTGGAAAAGAGTCTCCTGGCTTGCAGTTGAATATGGCACCTTAAAGTGATCTGAACTCAAAGCTTTGGGGGTCCCTCTTTCAGCCACAGCCCCCCCCCCTTCAAAATGAGAGTGCCTCTGAGCATGAGCAGAAAGCTTTTGCCTTCCTGCTTGGTGATCCCGGGCTTGAGATCTTGAGAAAAGTGCCATCATTCACCGGGATGACAGTTCCAGGTCTGCCAAGGTGAACGCTTTGGGGAGCTGCAGCTGGGCGAGGCGGAGGGTGCACGGGGGGCTCCACCTGGCCCCACCTGCCCTGCAGCCTCGTGCGCTGCATCCCTGCTGGGGATCCGGGCCCTTTAGAGAGAGCGTATTTTTGGCAAGGGCAAAGGGTTGGCGCCTGCCCCGCAGGGCTGGGTTGAGGCTGGCATGTCTGGGTTGGCAGGGTGCCAGCACGTCACCCTCTGTGCCTCGCGAGGGCGGATTGCATCCTGCATGCAAATCAGGGTAAATATTTTTAGTCTTTGCTCTCGTTTCCAAGGGGGTAATTGGAAGCTTGACCAGAGGGTGACCTGGGCTTGAATGCACTTACTTGGTCATATCCCTTGTGAAGTCGGCCGGTTGCAAGAATTCCATGGGGTGAAGTCACTGGGGAGTCGAGCTTGATGCTGGGTGATTTACAATCCAGCCGTGTTATTTCCTTATTAACAATGTGGGGTTTGTTTGCTTCCCTGTGTCTGGTTTTGCTTCCCAGCCTCGTCAGGAGATGTGGCATCCTGGGTGGCCTCCCATCCGATGCCTAAACAATTTTTCTCAGCTCAGGGGACTCAGAGCAGCTCGGAGCTTCCAGGGGCACCTTAAATGGGTTGATTGGCAGCCTAGTCCAGTCTATTTGTGGTTAGAAGGAAGCAGCTTCCTTCCTTCAGACGTTTCCTGAAAAGCAGCTCTGTCTACGGAGGTTTATAGGGGTCTTTGGGGCGGGGCTAAGGAGACCCAAGCCCCTTGTGAGCAGGGGTGGGGGTGGGGAGGATGCAGTCCTGCTTTACTTTTTCCCTGAGTTGGAAAGAAACGTAAGTTGAGAAAATTGAGAAAGAAAGACGTGGGAAGCTTAAGGATTGTAGGAGGCAAACTCCCTTGCAACAGTGACTCCGTTTTGGGAATGCAGAGGCGTTGAGGAGGGACAGAAACCACCTTTTCTAGGAACAGGACTGGGAGAAGGCAGGGATGGGGCGAGGATAAATGCCCCCCTGAAAGGGGCTTTGCTGGGTTCCCTGGATGGAGGAATGGAAGTCAGATGCATTTTTCTCCTTGCTTAATTGGATTCCTGGTGTCATTTTTTTCAAAATTGGCTCTAAAAAGGCTGCTTTGATCACTGACTGAAGTAGCAAGGGAGTTCACTCCTGCCTCTTTGCTTGTCATGACTTTGGCCCCTTCCTGAGGACTAGAACCCTGTTCAAGCCTGAAGCTAAGGCCCCAGAACCATCCTGGAAGCCAGCAAGAGGCTTGTTTTGGGGAGCTATTTACTTCCCAGCTAGCCTGGCACCTGGCCCAGGAAGAGGCCACACTGGTGGGGGAATCCTGGGGCTCCTCCGCTTTTGGCTCCACCTACCCTCTGGCACTCGGCTGGGCTCCCCGGGAGCTTTGTGATGGCGCAGCTCTTCCAGGTCTTGCCAGCCTTGCCCAAGAGGCTGGATCAAGAGCTCTGCTTGGTTCTCGGCCCCTCCCTGGAAAAGCTGCACTGGTGCCAACTTGCAAGCAGGAGATGGGGAAGGCTGATTCCTTGGCAGCTGCAGAGCTGCCCTGGGCAGGGCAGGGGTGCCAGGAGTAAGCATGGAGATGCCACCCTGGGGCAGGGCAGCAAAGGGACGTTGGATGCCATTTACGGAGATGCTTCCTCTTCCCAGGTCGCTGAGACCCTCGGAGTGCTGCTAGCTGCCAGTGTGGAAGCCCAAGTCGCTCACCATGGCCAGCCAAGACCTTGCCAGCGCTCAGGAGCTCCTGGATCTCACCTTCCAATGTGAGTCGAGGGGAGGCAGAAGAACAGGCATGGGCTGAGAGAAAGAGAGAGAGAGAGAATTGGAAGGGGCCACACTGGGCAGCTCCCGCTTGGACCCTCCCTCCACCACCTTTATTCTTCCAAGAAAGCCGAGTTTGATCTCCACGTGGAAGGCCTCTCCAAGCCCAATTTTGACAGCAGCAGGTTTCCTAAATCATCCATAATCAGCCTTTGTCAACCTTGGCAACTTTATGATGGGTGGACTTCAACTCCCAGAATTCCCCAGCGGGCTAGGTTGAGACCCACTGATCCCTGTATTCTAGAGCAGAAGTCCCTCGGTCCCCATACAGACGGTAGGGCTGCAGCTGCAGAAGGCGGCACTTTCGCTTCCTTCCAGGCCCACCTGGAAGGCTGTGTTGGTGACCTCTTTGTGCCTGAGATGGCCACTCGGAGCGTGGGACCCTGAATAGCAAGAGCCCTTATATACCGCTTCACAATGCTTTGCAGCCCTCTCTAAGCGGTTTACAGAGTCAGCCTCTTGCCCCCAACAATCTGGGTCCTCATTTTACTCACCTCGGAAGGATGGAGGGCTGAGTCAACCTTGAGGCGGTCAGGATTGAACTCCTGACAGCGGGCAGAGTCAGCCTGAAATGCCGCACTCTAACTACGGCGCCACCAGGGTTCAGTGGTCAGAATGCAATAGTTGAACCTGAATGTCTTTGCACTCCTCTCTGATTGGGGGAGGGGGCTGTGGAACGATGGGCAAGCACAATCTGTCAGAAGAAGAGAAGAAATGGCTCAGTTGGAGTTTGCAGCGGCAGACTGAAATGTGAACGAAAGAGCTTGTGTGTGTGTAGGGAGCCTGTGTTGTGTACATGCAGATATATGAGTGATGGTTATAATTGTTGGTTAAACGGCCCCTTGTTGCTCTGAGTGTCTCTGGGGCGGATGGTCGCATTCCCCAAAGGGGCCCTGATTCATTGCTTTGCAGAGATCCCCGTTGTTTGGCTGTGCCTCCTGGGGATGAGGGGGACTGTAGTCCAGCTTCTTGGCTGGAAACCCTTACCCCAAGCTGTGTAGATTCCCATGGAGGGCGTATGCCAAGGTTTATCTTGGCAAAAGAGGGGTGGAGAGCAGGTGTCCCTGCATTCAATGGGGACATGATGTGGCTAGGAAGTAGCCAACTGGCTCATGTCCGGTAATTTCAATGCAAACGTAGTATAGATATGCAGGGTATTTACACCTGATTAGCTTCCTTCTTTAAAGTGCAAACACAGTTAGGAAGCCAGGGATGCTTCCTCACAATCAAGAGCCTCTGAAGAGTCCAGCTGTTGCACCAGGCCACTGGCTGGGCCCTCTCCATTTTCTCACAGTGGTCAGGGAGACGCCCCCTTCTTGAGAAAACCCCAGGTGAACAGTTTCACCCCCACCCCATCACCTGCCATCTCATTTCCTTGGCTCCTGCCATTCTGCTAGCTGGGGAATTCTGGGAGCTGAAGTCCACTTGTCCAAAAGGGGCCAAGGTTGGAGACCTCTGAGCTAGAGGAATCCTTTCTAGGGCCGGTTTGGGCTGCGATGCAGGTGCTGGAGAAGGCCGGGGCTGTTTGTCTTAATTTTGAGAGGCAGAAAAAGACCCCCTTGTGGGAGCATCTTGCTAAGGACAGGGCCTTGGGCTAACCTTCCATCTCCCGCTTCTTGCCTTCGACTTTGATTCCCATCATCCTATATGGCCAAGGATAATGGGTGTTGAGGTCCACCACACTCAGAGGTTGTTCCTAAAGTTCTCAGGGGGGGAGCCCTGCCCCTCCTCACCTGCTGTTCTTCCCCACAGCCCTGGCTTGCAAGCACATGGACCTCAAGCAGCTGGAGCTGGACACGGCCGCAGCCAAAGTGGACGAGCTCTCCAAGCAGCTGGAGTCGCTCTGGACGGACCATCCTGGGCCACCCGCCCTGCCATCCCTGGTGAGGCAGAGGAGGAGAGGCCAGGGCCACCCTGGGGTTGTGTGGGGCCTGCCAGGCTGCTCAAGGGGGCTCCATTAAGCGGTTCCAGGGTAATTGGGCGCTGCTCTGCAGTCCTGGGAGGCGAACTGGGGATGTTATTCATGGGAAACTGCAGCTCTGACACTCGGCAGCCTTTGGTGCCAAGCAATTTTGGGGGAGGGGCTGAGCCTTTCTCTGGAGGGTGGCCAGGCTGCTCCCTGGATCTGCTCCAGAGGTTCTGGGGCAGAGAAGTTGGAAACCAAGCCCTCCCGAGGGTGTCCCAATCCCTCCTTTCCTCCTTCGAATAAACAGACGTGTCCTTTCATGTTGGAAGATGGTGATTTGGGGATTGGGCCCTCCCTACTGCAAGGAGATGGCAGCGATCCTTGGCAAAGCCCCCGCTTTAGGCGGAGGCTGCCTTTCCTCTGCCTGGAAGGAAAGATGGCTGATTCTCCCCCCACTTCGCTTGGCAGATGGCTGACAGGTACAGCTCCATCTCTTCTCCGGACCTGCTGAAGATGGACGCCCGGGCCGCCTCTCCCCTGCACCTGCGGAAGAGCCCCACCTGGGACCTCGTGGAGCCCAGTGGCCCCCACAGCTTGTCCCCCTACAGCTCCTCGCCCAGCCAGCTTCTGGCCCCCAAGCCCACCCTGGGACGCCCCTCCTCCCCACGGCCTTCCTTCTTCCTGCAGTCGGATGTGGACTGGAGCCCCATAGCACCCTCCAGGCCCAAAGTCATGGCCGTCCCTTACGAGGGCCTGTCAGGCCCCGGGGCCCATGGTGGGTCCCCTCGCTGCCTCCGGCCTGCCGGCCTTCCTGAGCGCCAATTTGACTACCGGCCATTTGCTGCCACCGGCGGGTGGGGGGGCCGGGCTGGTTCTCCGCGGCTGCCTGGAGAAAGCTCCATGTCCCAGGCCTTCTTCCCAGAGCGAGGGCCCTCTCCGCGCCCCCCTCTCCCGCCCCCCTACGAGAACCACAGCCTGTATCCTTCGGCGCCAGGCTCCTTCTGGGCACAAGGTAAGTGCGTGCCAGACCTGTTTGGCCCTTTGATTGTTTAGGTGCCCTGCAGCTGCACAGCACCTGGATTGCAACGCAGGTTCAATCTCTCCCAAGTGTTTAAGAGGCTAATTATGGACTGCATTCAGGGCGCAGAGAGGGGTGTGTCGGCTGAAGGGGGTTGGGATGTGCTCTCCCAAGGAACCCGACCTTTGAATATCAAGTTTCCAGCTCTTAGGCGGCTGCCGAGACGTGTTTGGGCAAGGCTAGATGGATGCTGGGGGCCACCTTGGCTCAGCCAGATTTCTGGTGGGAGGGAGGGGGGAGCCAGTGTTCCTTTCATGTCCCGTTCACTTCTTTGTGCTGCTGAAAGAGGAACGGAACAGCAAAGGGAAACGAGAGGAGAAGAAATCCGAACAAAGGGAACATCTGCAGAATTTCTGCAGAACAGAACATCCCCCCCCCCCAATATCTCTGTTTTTAATTTGGGCGTTTCAAAAGATAAAAGTCTTGCCTTTTAAATAGCAGTAGCAGAATTCAAGTTGAGAGGTTGTGCAAAATGGCCCTTCCCTCCTGGGGATCTCTAGTTGGACTGGGTGCAGCCCCCCCCAAGCAGCAGGGACCTCTTGGCAGCAGGTGCTGGGAGTTGTAGTCCTGCAACGTCTGGAGGGCTCTAGGTGCTGGAGCTGCCCTAGAAGAAAAGGAGGCGAGCAGAGCTGGCAGAGTAAAACTAGGCCACCTTTTTCTCCAAGAAGCTATTCAGGCACCCCCCAAAATCTGGCCTCTGCTGCAGTCTGGCCAAGAGCGTCCCCCAAAGGCTGGTGTGGCTTTTCCCCTTGTCCGGGACGGAGGCACCTGGAGCACTTCTGATGCCCTCCTGGCTGTTTCTTTTCTGCAGACGACATGGTGATGCGCAGGAGAGCGCCCAAAAGCTGGAACGAATCGGATCTGGATGTGACCTATGAAAAGAAGGCACCGCACCCTGTTGGCTACGAGCGTGAGTCTGCCGTGGTGGGGTGGGGGTGGGATTCCCTAAACAGACCTGGCACTCATGGGGGGCACATGCCAGAGGGCGGCTGCCCCAACAGAATGCTCTCCAATGCCCACTGGCAGGTTTTCCCAGAGGATCCTGGAGCAAGATCTGGATTCCCCCTGGTAGATCCCAGTCCCAGGGGGTTGGTGCCTCGTGTGTCAGAGGGATCCCGCTGGCAGCTGATGGCTGTGACCTCCTGCTGAGCGAGGGTCCCTCAGAGGCCGTTCTCCATGTCGGTGCCTGTGACTGGGGACAACTGCTGGGCACAGGAGAGACCCCCGGCAGAGGGAGGGGCCAGACAGGGACTTGGTCCCACTGACGATGGGCTTCCCCCCAGGTGTGGATCCGCACGCAAGCCTTCGCCAGAACGCGGCTGGGCTGCCCCTGGCTCCCTGGAAGGAGTCCAGCCTGGATGGGGGCTGGCCAGGCAAGGTCAGTGTCCCTGCTGGAGGCCCTTTGGCGGCTTCAGAGACAGCAGCTGGTAGACAGGAGGAGGAGGGATGGAGGGTGGCAAATGACCCTCTCTTTTGGCTTCCCTCCCCCTTCAGGAGGAACATTATGGGATGAACAGCGCCACCTTGCCCAGGAATTACAAGGTCTCGGCCCTGGCCGGCGAGAGGCGCCCGGACAGCTCCTTCCGCCGCTCCCTGGGCGCCAACCAGGCCGGCACCCTGCCCCGCAACTGGCAGCCCATCTCCCGCATCCCCATCCCCCCGCCTGCCCCGCAGGGCGGCAGCCTCCCCAGGCGCCACAAGCCACTGCCCCTCTCCATGATCTTCCGGCTGCAGAATGCCTTCTGGGAGTCGGGCGCGGCAGGTGGCAAACTCGGGCTGCCCCCGGGACCGGTGGGGTCGCCGTTGGCCCTGCGCTCCTTGCAGAAGCTGCTGCTGCAACAGCCGGCTGTTCCAGCGCAGCCCCCCCTCTGGACGGTGCAGCCCGGCAGCGAAGGTGAGTGGCGCTGGAGGGAGGAGGCAGTGGGCAAGGCTCCCTGGTGCCACAGCTGGAGGCCCCCCGTGGGTGAATGCAGGTCAGCTGGTAACCCCGTGGTAAATACTAGTTGTCCTCGACTTACAACAGTTCATTTAATGACCATTCAAAGTTACAGTGGCACTGAAAATTTTTTCACACTTATGACCATTGCATAATCCTGGTCACATGATCAAAATTCAAATGCTTGGCAACTGGCATGTACTTATGCCGGTTGCAGTGTCCCAGGGTTATGCGATCCCCTTTTGCAACCTTCTGTCAAGCAAAGTCAACGGGGAAGCCAGATTCACTTAACAACTGTGTTACTGCAGTGATTCACTTAACAACTGTGGCAAGAAAGGTTGTAAAATGAGGTGTGGCTCACTTCAAAACTCTCTTGGTTAGCAAGAGAAATTTTCTGGTCATAAGTCGAGGACTACCCCTACACGAATGCTTTTGCTGAAGGCGCCACCTTCCCATTTCCGGCTTTCCCCCCTCTAGGCAATGCCAGCCCCAGAGCGCCAGTGGTGCCAGCTGAGCGCATCGTGCCCATCGTCCTGACCCCGAGCGAAGCGGAGCCCGAGCTGGAGAGCCTCTTGCCAGGCAGTGAGCCGGCCGAGATGGACGACCTGGCCCGGCCCCTCAGCCCCACCCGGCTGCAGCCAGTCCTCCCGCCCGAGGCCCAGAAGGTGCCCGAGTTTGAGGAAGTGGCCCGGGTGCTGGCAGAGATGCCTCGGCCCCTGAAGCGCAGGGGGTCCATGGAGCAGAACCCCAGCCCGGCCCTGCTGCCCCCCCACAAGAAGCAGTACCAGCAGATCATCAGCCGCCTGTTCCACCACCAGCCCCGCAAGGAGGAGGCTGCTCCCACGGGGGACCCCCCCTCTCAGCCGGACCTCTCGCCCATCACTGAGGCTGCGGAGCAGAAGGGGGGCCCGGCCATGACCCCTCCGCCAGCACCAGAGAGTCCGGCCACTCTCTCTCCAATGGCCAGCCCGGTAAGTGCAGGGTTTGGCGGCTGTTTTGCCCAATTCCCTGAGGATGAGCGCCCCCCCTCCGGAGGAGTGACCAGCTGGCAACCACAGCAGACAAGACCCTTTGCAACCCTGAAGGCTGTTCCTCCTTGCTTGGGACTCTGGTGCTCCGTAGAGAGGAGGCTGAGAGGGGAATGGCTCCACCTTCTGCTTGTGAAACCCCTCTCCCCCCAAAAAACATCTGTCTGGACTGAGGGGCCTCAACCTGCCCTAGCGGGGCTGTTCTGGTGCTCCTCACAAGCTTAGCAAAATGCTCCCTTTTGAGCTGCCCTTTGGCGATTCTGCGCAGCTGTGTGGCCCCCCCACCTCGAAGGGTCCAGGAGCCCCTGGAAGGAGGGCAGCTCATTTGGTTGAGGAGGGGGCATAGGGTGCCCATTGAGGCCTCTGATCCTGATCGCTCCTTCCTCCTCCTGGCTTGGGGAGGGACTCCCAGGGGCCGATAGCGGGAAACGGGGGTTTGTGTGTGGAGGGGGGTTTGCTTTAATTGCTCCTTGGGCTGCTCTGCAGGAGAAGCGTTCGGTGCTGCGCAAGGTCTCTTCCCCCCGGAAACGGACGACCAAGAAAGCGCGGCTCAACCCCTTGGTGCTGCTGCTGGACACGGCCCTGACTGGAGAGCTGGAGGTGGTCAAGGAGGCGGTGAAGGAGGTGAGCTGGTGCCTGGCAGCCCTAGGACGGGCCACCTTCCCCTGACTGAACATCGGGGTGAAATCCAGCAGGTTCTGGAGAACCGGTAGCAGAAATTTTGAGCAGTTTGGAGAATCGGCAAATGCCACCTCTGGCTGGCCCCAGGGTGGGGAGGGAGTGGGGATTTTGCAGTATCCTTCCCCTGCCACGCCCACCAAGCCGCGCCCACAGAACCGGTAGTAAAAGAATTTGGATTTCACCACTGCTGAAGGTGCCCTGCGGTGGTTGTTACGGCGTGGGGTTGGTGTTCTCTCTTTAAGCAAAGAGCAGCTGTGCGAGGCAGTTGTGCAGAGTGAGAATCCAGAGCAATGAGCTGGGATAAAAGGGGATTCGTAGAAGGAAGTGAAGCTCCATTGCTGGACTGACCGGGGGGGGGATGGGGGAGTCTTTGGTGCTCTCTGAGCTTGGCGGTTTCCTTGCAGGCGTTTCATTACCAGACTGGGTCACATCCTCACTGCAAGCGATCCACCAAGCTCAGAGCACCAAGAACCCTGCAATGGAGGGGGTGGGCTGGGCTAATGAACTGATGTGGGGTGGGGGGAGGTACAACCAGACTGGGTTTCTGGGTAAATCTGTCCCATGAGTTGGTGTGGCCATTCTGCAACCCAGTATGTTCAGCCTTGGATGGCTCTCTGCCCCTTTCCTGCCCTAGCTGAATGACCCGAGCCAGCCGAATGACGAGGGCATCACCGCCCTGCACAATGCCATCTGTGGGGCCAACTACAGCATTGTGGACTTCCTGATCAACATTGGGGCCAATGTCAATTCTCCAGACAGCCACGGCTGGTGAGTCCCGGGGACGGGACGAGGAGCAGGAAGGGTGGTGGCCTCTGCGAAGCTTCCTGCCTGTGGGGAGGGGAGCACCCTGTGTGGCCGTTGCCCAGACACGATGCAGGCCTTCCCTGAGCTGGCCGCCGCCTCCCTTCCAGGACCCCCCTGCACTGTGCAGCTTCTTGCAATGACACTGCCATCTGCATCGCTCTGGTGAAGCATGGGGCCGCCATCTTTGCCACCACATTCAGCGACGGGAGCCTGGCCATCGAGAAGTGCGACCCATATCGAGAAGGCTACAACGAGTGCTTCAGCTACCTGGCAGGTGAGGGAGAGGAAGGCCGGCTGGCTGGGAACCCAGGAAGGCAGGAAAGTCCTGGCAGCCCTTCGATTTTGCTCAGTGGCACCAAGCAGGTCCCGCTTGGCGAACTCCCTCATTTCTCAGGTGGCACCGACTGGCGCCACAGACGTTTCTGGGGCACTGAAGCCCGGAGGCTGACTGCTTTCTCATTGTTTGCCATGTGGGGGGGGTGTCTCTCTTGCCACAGATGTGGAGCAGAACATGGGGCTGATGAATAATGGGGTGGTCTACGCCCTGTGGGACTACAGTGCTGAATTCAGCGACGAGCTCTCCTTCCGCGAGGGCGAGCCGGTCACCGTGCTGCGCCGGGATGGCCAGGAGGAGCTGGACTGGTGGTGGGCCTCTCTCTATGGCCAGGAGGGCTATGTGCCCAAAAATTACTTTGGGGTGAGTTTTGAGGACGGGGAGGTTTGTCCCGGGGGAGCCCAGGCCAGAGGCAGCCCGGGACCAGAGGGCAGAGCAGGCAGGGTCTGTGTGTCCTGCTTTCCAGCCACGTGGGGCTGCTGGCTTTGTCAGTCGTGGCCTTTCTTGCTCCTCACGGCCCCCTTCCTTTCTCAGCTGTTCCCCAGAGTGAGGCCCCAGCAACAGAAGACGTAAAGCTCCAGCGAGGCTGTCGGTGGGGGAGAGCGGGAGCCCGATGGTGGGACTCGCATCCGTGCCCGTGGAGAGACCCAGGGGAGGGTCCCTTTCCCTGCTTCTGCTGGCCACCCTCTGCTTTCAGAAGAGCGTAAACGGAGGGGGAGGGGTGGCATTCAACCCTTCCACACTATCCCCCTCCTCTGTCGCCTTTCTTGCTTCTCTATGTGAATCCCACTCCCCAACTGGGAGGAGAGCTTTGGTGTCTTCCACAACAGCCACTGCAGCGATGCGCCCCTTCCCCAAAGGCTGACCAGGGAAATTGGTGCAGTGCATCTGGGGCTTGGCTGCACTGGGGGGGCTCGGCTTCCAGTTCTCCTCTGCCCCAGTTTTGCTGACTTTCCTCTGGAGCCCCCAGCAGAGTTTGCCTTCCGGACTTCATCCTTGGGGTCACTGTGGTGCTGCTGCCCTCAACTCACAGTTGGTGGGACTTTCAACATCTTTTCTTTTTACCCTCACCAACCCGGTGAAGAAAGAAGAAAGATGGGGCACCGCCTGGCTCTTTCTGTGCCTTCTTCTTGGGCATCTGGAGAAAGAGTGAACTGCTGTGCAAGGACAGAGTGCAGAAGTGGGTGGGGGGCACAGCCCCCGGGAGTTGAACTAAAAGCCATGGGCTCTGTAGTCTACACTTCATTTTAAATGGGCTATCCTCAACTCCAGAAGTTATTTCTCAAAAATTCTCACTGCACTCAAGACACGTACGGCTGACAAGTACCCCATCATTTTGAAATGAGTTAAGTGATCCCAAGTTGTCACCTCTCCGTATAACTCTCAAGTGATGCCAAGGCTGGGATCTGCTCCCCATGATTCGACATTAAGACTGCAGTGCAGGGGTCTCCTGAATCTGGAGCAGCCAACTCTTCCCTCTCAGAGAAGCATAGCCCCCCCATTTTTACAAATCATGTCTAAAGTTGAACCCCATTGTGGACTTGATTCCCCGAGGTTGCAGCTGATGTTCTGCCAGGGTGGAAGAGAATGCCCATGGCTGCTTAACCTGAGTAACTCAAAGCATCCCACTCCTACTCAGGAGGGAGGAAGGTGGGGAGGACCCTGAGTCAGTCTGCCCTGCTGAGAGCTGACAGAGGCCGTGCAGCTGGGCAGCAGCTGGGCTCCTTCCTAGCCAGTGCTGCCCACAGGCTGATATTCCAGCTACAGCAGAGGGCTGTGCACGATGTTGGTGCTCATTGTGCATACTCTACAGCTGGAATGAGATCACAGGGAGGGAGGGAGGATGATGCCCCCTGCTCAGTGCCGCCTTTTTGCCCACCTGGGCAGAAGCTGCAACTTGCGTGCCAAAGCTTGGTTTCTGTGCCTGCCTCTGCCAAGCCAGCGTGGGGCCTCCGTGAGAGCTTCGCCTGGCCAAGAGCCCCTTCTTTTCACACTGCGCCTTAATTTGGGCCGGGATGCCAGGGCGTGTCCTGATGCTTCTGGGGTGCCTTTGGTGGGCGCTAGGGAGGCAATTTTGTGCCTTTAAGGGGGTGGAGCCTTTCAGGAATAGCTTCATGCAGGTTGGGGGTCCGTGGCCTGCAGGTCCCGCATCTGAAGGCTGCTTCAGTTGGGGCTTGGCCAGGCCCAGATCCAGGGAGGGGGGTCGCTGGGGTCCAGGTGGGCCCTTCCTGGGATTGTTGGTAGCCCTGGCTGGAAAATGTAGCATTCTGTAATAAAATGGTCTAACTGGACAAATGTGGCGGCTGTGTTCAATGTGGGGGGAGGGGTATTATTGCCTCTGTGCAAGGAGGAAACATTTGGCTGTGGGGTGGAATACCACCCACCCACTGGATGATCCGAGTAAAGACTTCAGAGGACAGCAAAGGTGCCCAACAAGCACCAGAGCGCATAACACCAGACATGTCACTGGAAGGCAAAATCACGTCCCACTTGCTTTGGTCACGTCTCGCAAAGGAATTCAATGGAGAAAGCATTTATGTTGGGAAGAGGTAGCAATAAATGGAAGCCAGGCCACCAAAGAACACGGTGGACCGTTCACAAGACAACAGTTGGTGCTTGGATTCCCACAAAACTGGAGTTTGAGTAAAAAGCACCTTTGAGAAGGTGACACATGGCTCTGTCACAAAACAAAATCTCACTTTGGTTTAGCGCATGTGCATCCAGCACAAGAGGTTATCCAAACCATGCAACTTCCCCTCTGACGGGGTCGAGCTGCTTCCTTCCAATTTGAAAAAGCCAGACGGGCATTAGGCAAATTCAATTACGATTTGGGGCTTTGATTCGGAATGGCCCCGCACCAATCATGCTGGGCTTCTCTGAGGGAACCGGGTGCCAAAAGTCCCGCCTGTAGCAGCCCCCCCCCCCCCCACACACACTACAGCAGCCCCGCCCCTTGCATCTCCCTGCCCTCCCTTGCAAAGAGCAAATTGCCCCCACCAGAGTGGGGACAGGACCTGCTGGGCATAAAGGGGTCTCAATGGGGTCACTAACTTCTTGAGCAGGCTGGTCAGTTTGGGATTCAATGCCAGGAACGCAGGTCAATTACGCATCGCTTCAGTTAGTCACACTGTAGCCTTGTTTCCTCCTTGGGTCATTTCTATAGGAAGCCTCCGGTTGGGTTGCTGGCTAAGGAACTGGGGAGGGGGAGTTTTGGGGGGTAGCGATTGCAATCCAGCATATAATTAAGGAAGGCAATTCAACGGGTGAAGAAGGCCGGATGAAGCGCAGCCACTTTCCCACAGCCCGGAGCCTCGCGGTCCCAGGAGCGGAAAGCTACCGCAAGATTTCAGTCTAGTAGGGAAAGCTAAATCCATGCTCTCCGGATTCGACTTCTTCAGCCTAGGTTGCAGGCACGCCGTACGATCATCTTTTGAGCGGCTCGTGATGCCTGTGCGCTGCGCAGCCGAACGCTGGGCAGAAAGTCTGATAGCCGGCGGAGGCGGGCTCTTTTCAGATCAGCCACTGAGGCCTTCGTCGGGGAGTGTCGTGAGCCAATGGGATCGAGAGCGAGAGAAGAAGCGGAGAGGCGACCGAGGGAACAGTTTTCCTTTGAGAGGACCGGAGTGAGAACTTCACAGCCGCAGCGGACGAGACCATGAAGTGAGCGGCGGCTGGGGGGGGGGGCGGCGGCTGGGAGGTACCACTTGGGCGGCGGGAGGCGGGCGGGGGTCCCGGGACGGGCTGCGGGGCGTTTGCCGGCTGGGGATGATGGGATGCGGGGTGGGGGGGCGCGCCTCGCTCCGTCAGCCGCGGGGGGGCAGATGTGCCCGGGGAACCCTCGGCCACTCGCTCCCTCCCTCCCTCCGCGCAGGCTGAACATCGACGGCTTGCTGGTGCTCTTCCCCCACGACTACATCTACCCCGAGCAGTACTCCTACATGCTGGAGCTGAAGCGGACGCTGGACGCCAAGGTGGGCCGGGCGGGGAGGGGGGGGGAGAGCAGGACTGGAACTCAGAGCCTGCCTCCGCTCCCAGCCCGGCACCTCCGTCCCTGACGCTCGCCCCTCCCTCCCTCCCTCGCTCGCCCCGCAGGGCCACGGGGTGCTGGAGATGCCCTCGGGCACCGGGAAGACCATCTCCCTCCTGGCGCTCATCCTGGCCTACCAGCGCGTGAGTATCGGGGGGGGGGGCGGCCCAGGGCTGCAGGGGCCCCGCAGGCGGGGAAGGGGGGGGCTGGGCGGCCCCTCCTCCGACTCGGCCTGCTTTTCTTCCAGGAGCCCCCTCCCCTCCCAAGCGTAGCCCTCTAAGCCAGCCCTCTCCCCCAGGCTTACCCGCTGGAGGTGACCAAGCTCATTTACTGCTCCAGGACCGTCCCGGAGATTGAGAAGGTACCCGAGGGGGGCGGGGTGTGGCGGGCACTCCTGCACCTGGCACCGGGAGAGATGCCCTTGGAGGGGGGGGGATGCCAGGGCTGGTGGGTGGCTGGGGTGGGAGGAGGGGCTTTCCTGGGGGGGTCTGGGAGCCTCCCCCCCGTATCAGCCACTGGGCTTCTGCCCCCCAGGTGATTGAGGAGCTGCGGAAGCTGGTGGACTTCCACGAGAAGCAGACGGGACAGAAGCTGCCCTTCCTGGGCTTGGCCCTCAGCTCCAGGAAGAACCTCTGCATCCATCCCGAGGTGCCTCTGCCGGCCAAAGGGCAGGGTGGGGCGCTCGGCCTCTGGAGCAGCCAGAGGAGACTCGGGGAGCCCCTCTCGGCCACCTCTGGTTCCACTCGGGCTTCTCTCCTTCCACCAAATGCCCCGGGGGGGGGGGGGGGAGGGAGGAGGCTCCCTTTGCCTCTTCTTGAGTCCTCTCCCAATAACCCTGGTTGGCAGGAGCGAGAATGGCCGGGTGGTCTCTTCTTCCGAGCCCACTCTCTCTGCTAAGAGTTCATTGGCTGCTTTGGGCCAAGGCCACTGAATCCCCTGGCAGTGGGCAAAGCTGTGCCTGTTTTGCTCCGACTTTGCACACACCCCCTTCCTTGTCGTAGGTGAGCAGCCTGCGCTTTGGGAAGGAGGTGGACGGCAAGTGCTTCAGCCTGACTGCCTCCTACATCCGGGCTCAGCACCAGCAGGATGGCAGCCTTCCCTCTTGCTGCTTCTTTGAGGTAAGGGTGAGGTGCTCAAGGGGGTGGGGCAGTCAAAGCCGCCCCCCCCCCAGGCCCCAGGGAGGAGGACCTGGGTGGGGCCCTGGATCTTCTCCCCAGGGGCAGAAAGAGGCCAGATTGAAAAGTGAGGTGGACCAATTCTGCCCCTCTCTTTTCCCCATGGATCTGTTTTGTGTATCCAGAGGCATTTTTTCCCCTCAAAGTATGTTTGATGTGAAAATTTGAGCAGCCGAAAAACATTCTGGCTTGTTCGTAAGGCCAGGGCAAGGAGATCCGTTCAGCCCTGCTGTGATTCCCTGCAGGAATTCGATGCCCACGGTCGCCAGGTGCCTCTTCCTTACGGCGTCTATAACCTGGATGACCTGAAGGCCTACGGTCAGCAGAAGGGCTGGTGCCCCTACTTCCTTGCCCGCTACTCGGTAAGACAGCTGGCAGGCACAAGCCCCCTCCCCTCTTTCTAGGGCAAAAGGGGTCTCCTTGAAGGATCCTTGGTGCTCTCTGGCCTTGGTTGTTTTCTGGCAGATGTTTCATTACCCAAACTAGGTAACATCATCCGGGCTAGCAAGGAGAGTGGTTGGCTCAACTCAGTTTATTCCCCTTTACAGGATCTCTTTGGTTAGATGAGCTGTTGGGATGCTGCTTCTTGTTATTGCAAAAGTTGCAGTAGGGATTGAAGTAGCTGGTGCACAGTGACCGAGTAAGGTTGGTCTTTGGGGGACTTTGTGCCTCCCCCAGTGAGCTAAATCCAGCAGTTCTATCAGTAGGAGATTCAGCACCATCAATGCAAGTTTCTCATAGCATTTTTCCCTCGGCTTTTGAGCACAGAATCCAAATTGCCTGTGAATCTCCCAATGCGACTCTTTCATTCTGAAATGTCCCTCTGTCATCAGAAAGTCTGCCTAGGTAGCTTTGAAGTTAAGAGAGATAAGTACATTTTAATCCATTTTGTAGTTAAGCATACAGATAATCCTCGATTGACAACAGTTCATTTAGTGGCCACTAAAGTTACAATGGCGCTGAAAAGTGACATGACCCGTTTTCACACTTATGACCGTAGCAGCATCCCCATGGCCATGTGATCAGAATTGGCAACTGACTCATATTTAGGACAGTTGTGGTGTTCCAGGGCCACGTGATCCACTTTTGTGACCTCACAAGAAAGGTGAATGGGGAAGCCAGATTAACTTCACAACTGTGGCAAGAAAAGTGGTAAAAATGGGGCAAAATTTAGCAACAGAAATTTTGGGCTGAATTGTGGTTGTCAGTCAAGGACTCTCTGTCTCTTAGCACATGATTAGAACTGGGGTTGGTCCTTTTCTCCTTTCTTTGAGAGTAGAAATGTCTCCCAGCCCAGAAGTCTTGGCATTTCCTGCCTGCCTGAGAAGCCAAGCCCTCTCGTTCCCATTTGGGGATTTTGAAGTTCCTCCGTGCCCAAGGCAAGTGGCCAAGCTCTGCTCTGCTTTCTCTCCCCACCTGGAACAGATCCTCCATGCCAACATCGTGGTCTACAGTTACCACTATCTCCTCGATCCCAAAATTGCAGACGTGGTCTCCAAGGAGCTGGCCAAGAAATCAGTGGTGGTTTTCGATGAGGCTCATAATATCGGTAGGTATGAGAAGGGCTGGTGAGCGCCTGGTCCAGGAGGTGAATTGGGCTGTCTGAAAAATACGTTGGGATCCGGTTTCTTTCTTTAGAGGAGAGTTTCTCAGTTTTTCCAACTTTAAAATGTGTGGACTTCAAATCCTGGAATCCCCTCTAAACACGGCATTAGAGATTAACTCCGCTCTCACTCAGTTTAATTTGGGTGATGAGAACTCAGCCAAGCCGCCTGTAAGGAAACCAGATTCAGATTTTTTTTAGTTGCAATTTTATCCTTAGTTTATAATAATTTTCTTTTTTTCTCCTCTTAATTACAGATAGCCTTTGACTTATGACCCCAATTGAACCTAAATTTTAGTTGCTAAGTGAGACAGTTGTTAAGTGAATTTTGCCCCATTTTTTTTTATTGAAAAAGTTTTTCAAATACAAGTTTTTCCCCCTTTTCCTCCCTTCTTCCCCAACCCGCCCTCACCACCCATCCCCCCCGTGACTTCTTCTTCACAACAATAAGCTAATTCATAATTAATTACATAATAATTAATAACATAAT